AAAAAAAAAATACTTGCTCTGCAGCCGTTCAGGAAAGGATGATTTAGTGTATATTTCTTTTTCTGAATGGGCAATTTCCTAAAGAACGTCAATGGATAATAGTTGCAATGGAAGTTGAGATTTAGTGTTAAAGATTTAGAAATTATATAATAATCATTATCTGCTGGTTTAATGTAGTCCTTGCCTTAAATTTGCAGGAACTGAGACTCATCATTTGCATGTGTAAAAACCACAGCGTTTCAAATTAATTGCAGGCAGCGCTTTGAGTCCTTTTGAGAGATGTGAAGAAGAACAGTTTCAATACAATTTGTGTACTTTCAATGTTGCACCTGCTCTTGTAGCTAATTTGTTTTCTCTTTTTTTCAAATCAAATCCTCTGTTCCCTGACTGCTTGCCTGTTAACCCTGCGTGTGGCACTCCTGGTTCTAATCCTGCTGTAATACTTTCTTTTTCTCCACCTGTGACTGGCGACCTGATTTATAGCATCAGGTAGGAGAATCTGCCTGCTTCTGCTTTGCTTATTGAGGGTGGGAACTTCAAACTGGCTGTGGGAATATCTTGAATAATTGAACTTTGGACCTAGTCTTCTATTGAAGTAGGGGAGATTGTGTTGGGACCTCATACAGTGTAATATATTGTTGCTGTACTGTATTTAATTATTCTAGTTTACAAATACAATTGATGACTAAGCTGACGTAACTTGCTGTCATTCTAAAAGATTTCCTGAGTCCAGTTCTAAGTCTTGAATTGCGATAGGCCAAATGTTCCTTCTTGCTTCCAGACCAAGGAAGAACAGTCACAGATCACTAGCCAGGTAACTGGACAGATCGGATGGAGACGTGAAGGAATCAAGTATCGGCGAAACGAGCTATTCTTGGATGTTTTGGAGAGTGTCAACCTGCTAATGTCACCACAAGGTAAGTGATACATAGGTGTTACAACTGTATAATCTAAGGGTGAAGTTTAGATCGCTCCTTTTTTCCTATCAGTTTTAATTCAAATTCTACTAATGCCATATTTTAAGTTGATGTGACATGTTTTTAGTTCTGAGGCTGTTATACTATCGCTAGGGTCACATCAAAGTTTATTTTGTCAAGCCACATCTTGGCAGAACAGTTTTCTGAATGTTGTGCAATGCATTTTCATGGGCATGCTTTCTTTCGCCTTGGAACAACATCACCTTTTAGAAGATGCTGCTGATATCTTCCTGACTCTGTGTTATCTGTATAGAGCCAGTATTCATTAATGATGACAAAAGTCTAGGAAGCCAGATATTTATGTTTGGGGGATTGAAGAGATGTGTGTGGGCAGTGTTTGAGAATCCTTCATGCGGTCTTACCCGGGAAGGCAGTGGCCCAGTGGTATTATCGCGAGACTATTAATCCAGAGACCCAGATAATGTTCTGGTGACCAAATCCTGCCGCAGCAGATTTAAGAAAAAAATAATCTGGAATTAAGAATCTACTGATAACTACGAAACCATTATCAACTGTCAGAAAAACCCACATTGACTCAGGGAAGGAAATCTGCCATCCTCATCTGGTCTGGCCTGACTGCAGACCCACAACAATGTGGTTAACACTCAATTGCCCTCTGAAATTCCATGTAAGCCATTCAGTTGTACCAATCACGACAAAGTCTCAAAGAAATGAAATTGGACGGATCACCAGGCATCGACCTAGGCACTGGAAAAGACAATGGCAGAAACAGCCCCGTTGATCCTGCGAAGTCCTCCTGACTAATATCTGGGGGCTAGTACTGAAATGGGGAGAGCTGTCTCACAGACTAGTCAAGCAACAGCCTGACGTTGTCTGTAAGGTATGATTCCGTGAATATGACTATGTCATGGACACGACCATTACCATTCCTGGATATGCCCTGTCTCGCTGACAGGAAGACCCAGCAGAGGTGGCGGCACAGTGGTATACAGTCGGAAGGGAGTTGCTCAGAGTCCTCAATGTTGATTCCGGACTCCATGAAGTCTCGTGGCTTCAGGTTAAACATGGGCCAGGAAACCACCTCATTATCACGTACCGTCCTCCTTGGCTGATGAATTAGTACTCTTCCATGTTGAACAACGCTTGGAGGAAGTACTGAGGATGGCAAGGGCACAAAATGTATACTGGGTGCGGGATTTCGATTTCTACCACCAAACGTTGCTCACAGCAGAACTACTGATTGGGCTGGCCAGGTCCTAAAAGACATAGTTGCTAGACTGGGTCTTTGGCAGGTGGTGAGAGAACCAACAAGAGGGACAAGTGTACTTGGCCTCATCCTTACCAATCTCCCAGCGCAGATGCATCTTTCCATGACAGTATCAGTAGTAGCGACCACTGCACAGTCCATCGTGTTGTGTGGCACTATCACTTTTCTAAATGGTTCAGAACTCGACTGGGCATTCATGAGGCCATCAACAGCAGCAGAGCTGTAACCTCATGGCCTGATGTGACCCCCCCCACTCAACCATTGCCATCAAACCAAGAGATCAACTCTGGTTCAGTGGAGAGCGCAGGAGGGCATGCCAGGAGCAGCACCAGGTATACTTGAAGATGAGATGTTAACCTGTTGAAGCCACCAAACAGGACTACTTGCATGCCAAGCAACATAAGCAGCAAGTGATAGAGCAAAGCAATCCCACAATCAACAGATCCGATCTAAGCTCTGCAGTCCTGGAATGAGTTGTGAATGGTGGTGGACGATTAAACAACTCACTGGAGGAGGAGGTTCCACAAATATCATGATGGAAGAACCCAGCACATCAGTGCAAAAAGATAAGGCTTGAAGCTTTTACAGCAATCTTCAACTAGAAGTGCCAAGTGGATGATCCATCACAGCCTCTTCCACTGGTCCCCAGCATTACAGACACCAGTCTTCAGCCAATTTGATTCACTCCATGTGATATCAAGAAACGGTTGGAGGCACTGAATACTGCAAAGGCTACTGGCCCTGACAGCATTCCGGCAATAGTACTGAAGACTTGTGCTCCAGAACTTGCTGCTCCCCTAGCCAAGCTGTTTCAGTACAGTTACAGCACTGGTATCTACCCAACAATGTGGAAAATTGCCCAAGTATGTCCTGTACATAAAAAGCAGGCGAAATCCAACTCGGCCAATTAGTGTCATTGACAGTGCTATCAAGCAGCACCTGCTCAGTGATGCCCAGTTTGGGCTCTGCCAGGGCTACTCAGCTCCTGACCTCATTACAGCCTTGGTTCAAACATGGACGAAAAGAGCTGGATTCCATCAGGTGAGATGAGAGTGACAGCCCTTGACTTCAAGGCTGCGTTCAACTGAGTGTGGGATCAAAGAACCCTAGCAAAACTGGAATTTTTGGGCATCGGGGCAAACTTTCTGGTGGTCAGAGTCATACCTGACACATAGGAAGATGTGGTTGTGGAGGTCAGTCATCTCAGCTCCAGGACATCTCTGCAGGAATTCCTCAGGGTGATGTTCTAGGCCTGACCATCTTCAGCTGCTTCATCAATGACCTTCCCTCCATCAAAAGGTCAGAAGTAGGGATGTTTGCCGATGATTGTACAATGTTCAGCGTCATTTGCAACTCCTCAAACTGAAGCAGTCCATGTCCAAATGCAACAAGATCTGGACAATGTCCAGGCTTGGGCTGACAAGTGGCAAGTAACGTTCATAAGAACTAGGAGCAGGAGTAGGCCGTCTGGCCCCTTGAGCCTGCCCCGCCATTCAATAAGATCGTGGCTGATCTTTTTGAGACTCGGCTCCACTTACCCGCCCGCTCACCATAACCCTTAATTCCTTTACTGTTCAAAAATTAATCTAGCCTTGTCTTAAAAACATTCAGCGAGGTAGCTTCACCCGCTTCACTGGGCAGGGAATTCCACAGATTCACAACCCTTTGGGTGAAGAAGTTCCTCCTGACCTCAGTCCTACATCTGCTTCTCTTTATTTTGAGGCAATGCCCCCTAGTCCTAGTTTCACCTGCTAGTGGAAACAACCTCCCTGCCTCCACCTTATCTATTCCCTTCATAATCTTATCTTTCTATAAGATCTCGCCTCATTCTTCTGAATTCCAATGAGTATAATCCCAGCCTACTCAGTCTCTCCTCATAATCCAACCCTTAACTCTGGAATCAACCAAGTGAATCTGCTCTGCACCCCCTCCAGTGCTAGTATGTCCCGTCTCAAGTAAGGAGACCAAAACTGCACACCGTACTCCAGGTGTGGCCTCACCAGGACCCTATACAGCTGCAGCATAGCCTCCCTGTTTTTAAATGGAGTTTAAAATGGAGGGATGGATCCCTCTAGCAATGACAGACAAAATTCCATTTGCCTTTTTAATTACCTGCTGCATCTGCAATCCTACTTTTAGCGATTCATGCACAAGGACACCCAAGTCCCTTTGCACAGCAGCGTGCTGCAATTTTTTTACCATTTAAAACATAGTCCATTTTGCTGTTATTCCTACCAAAATGGATGACCTCTCACTTATCAACATTGTACTCCATCTGCCATACCTTTGCCCACTCACTTAGACTATCTATATCCCTCTGCAGACTTTCAGTGTCTTCTGCACACTTTGCTCTACCACTCATCTTAGTGTCATCTGCAAATTTTGACACACCACACTTAGTCCCCAACTCCAAATCATCTATGTAAATTGTAAACAATTGCAGTCCCAACACTGATCCCTGAGGCACACCACTAGCCACTGACCGCCAACCAGAAGAACACCCATTTACCCCTACTCTTTGCTTTCTACTAGTCAACCAATCCTCTATCCATGCCAAAACATTACCTTTAATACCGTGCAACTTTATCTTATGTAGCAGCCTTTGGTGTGGCACCTTGTCAAATGCCTTCTGGAAATCCAGATACGCCACGTGCACAGGTTCCCCATTGTCCACCATGCGAGTAATGTCCTCAAAGAATTCCACCAAATTAGTTCAACATGACCTACCCTTCATAAACCCATGCTGGGTGTTCCCAATGGGACAATGTATATCCAGATGTCTTGCTATTTCTTCCTTAATGATAGATTCAAGCATTCTCCCCACTACCGAAGTTAAGCTAACTGGCCTGAAGTTACCTGCTTTTTGTCTACTTCCTTTCTTAAACAGTGCGTCACCTTGGCTGTTTTCCAATCTGCGGGAACCACCCCAGAATCCAGTGAATTTTGGTAAATAATTACTAGTGCATTTGCTATTTCCCCCATCACCTTTCTTAGTACCCTGGGATGCGTTTCATCAGGGCCAGGAGACTTGTCTACCTTTAGCCCCATTAGCTTGCCCAGCACTGCCTCCTTAGTGATAATAGTTTCTAGGTCCTCACCTGCTATAACCTGCTTGCCATCAGTTTTCGGCATGTCATTTGTGTCTTCCACTGTGAAGACCGACACAAAATAACTGTTTATTGCCTCGGCTATTTCCTCATTCCCAATTATTAAATTGGCCTTCTCCTCCTCGAAAGGACCAGTGTTTACCTTCGCCATTCTTTCTATAAGTATGTAAATCGTAAAACTTTTGCTGCCTGTTTTTATATTCTGAGCTAGTTTACTCTCATAGCCTATCTTACTTTTCTTTATAACTTTTTTTGTGGCTTTCTGTTGGCCTTCAAAGATTTCCCAGTGTACTAGTTTCCCACTACTCTTTGCTTTTTTGTATGTTTTTTTCAATCTGATACTTTCCTTTATTTCCTTAGACATCTATGGCTAACTATCTCTTTTCCTACAGTTCTTCCTTATCACTGAAATATACTTCTGCTGAGCACTGTGAAAAATCGTTTTGAAAGTCCTCCACTGTTCCTCAATTGACCCACCATAAAGTTTTTGCTCCCGTTCTACCTTAGCTAACTCCTCCCTCATCCCATCATAGTCTCCTTTGTTTGAGCACAGGACATTGGTACTAGATTTAACCTTCTCACGCTCCACCTGTTTTTTTAAATTCGACCATACTGTGATTGCTCCTTCCGAGAGGATCCCTAACTGTGAGATCATTAATTATTCCTGTCTCATTACACAGGACTAGATCTAGGATAGCTTGCTCTCTCGTAGGTTCCATGACACATTGTTCAAGGAAATTATCGCGGATGCATTCTATGAACCCCTCCTCAAGGCTGCCATGACCGACCTGGTTTGACCAATCGATATGTAGATTAAAATTCCCCATGATAATTGCTGTACCATTCACGCCACACAAACTCCAAGCTAGACCATCAGTGACAAGAGACAGTCTAACCACTGCCCCTTGACATTCAGTGATGTTACCATTACTGAATCCCCCACTGTCAATATCCCAGGAGTTTTCATTGCTCAGAAACTTAACTGGACGCACCACATAAATGGAGTGGCTACAAAAGCAGGTCAGAGGCTAGGAGTACTGCAGTGAGTAACTCCCCTCCTGACTCCCCAAAGCCTGTCCGCCATCTACAAGGCACAAATCAGGAGTGCAATGGAATACTTCCCACTTGCCTGGATGAGTGCAGCCCCAACAACACAAGAAGCTAGAGATCATCCAGGACAAAACAGCCACTTGATTGGCACTACATCCACTCTATCCACCACCGATGCTCAGTAGCAGCAGTGTGTACTATCTACAGGTGCACTGCAGAAATCCACCAAAGATCCTCAGACAGCACCTTCCAAATGCACGACCACTACCATCTAGAAGGACAAGGACAACAGATATATGGGAACACCACCATCTTCAAGTTCCAAGCCACTCACCATCCTGACTTGGAAATATTCACAGTTACTGGGTCAAAAACCCTGGAATTCCCTCCCTAATGGCATTGTGGTCAACACACAGCAGGTGGTCTGCAGCGGTTCAAGAAGGCAACTCACCACCATCTTCTCAAGGGCTACTAGGGATGAGCAATAAATACTGGCCGGCCAGCCAGCAACACCCACATGCCACGATATAAATTTTAAAAAAAATTTAAATTGATCCATAGCTGATTTCGGACAACACTTAGAAACTCCAGAAATTGACAAGTACTAACGTGGACCCATAAGTTGGTACACGTTGCATGTTATACTATGCCAATTAATTTGTGTCACACTAAACAAGTGCGGTTTGATCAGTGCCAAGATACCAAATTGGGCCCAACATATTAGCTCGAATATGATATTTGCTTTAAGTATAGACTTGGGGCTAGAAATGTAGTTGACAAATTGGCACCTCTAGAAAGTAAATGCCAGTTATGGTATTTCAGCCAGTATACCCATCATCAGAACTGATGGGTGAACTTGGGCTGTGTGCAGTGGAGATTTAAGAGTTAGCACTTAAGTATGGATAAATTTGGATGGGGTGGGGACGTTTTCAAGCTAAAGGAGTTACTCCTAGAGACAACAATGGTGTAGATGAAGGTATCAGTGGTGGTGAGAGGATCAGAGTGTTGAAAGGTGACTGAAGCCATGAAGACGAAAGTAAGAACTCTTGGTGATAAAACTAGATCTGAGGGTTTAAAGCTCGGCTCAAGATCCAGTCAAAACTGCATAACCTGTGCCAAAAATCAGAGCTGACCAGTCGAGAGGGAAAAAGTAGCTACAAAGACATAAAAATATGAAATTTAAGGATAATTCCCTGGTAATTATTAGGTAAAGGATGTGAACCCAAAGTAAGTGTCCACCTACTAGAGACAGACTTCAATTACTCTGCCAATATTTTGATTGTATTTTAACTAATTGCGTCATCTAATTTATCTAATGACAAATGCTGTAACTATATTCTCCCTGCACTGTCCCCACGTGCAAGTTGATTTTTTTTTTAGACATGGAAAAAATGTGTTACTTCCTACGTTGAAACTTGTACCCTTTTGTGTTTCAGGTCAGGTTCTAAGTGCTCATGTCTCAGGTAGGGTAGTAATGAAGAGTTACTTGAGTGGAATGCCAGAATGCAAGTTTGGGATGAATGACAAGATTGTTATCGAGAAACAAGGCAAAGGAACTGCTGACGAGAGTGCGAAAAGGTTAGGAATATGAAATCTTGAAGAACGTACAACTTGTAGTTCAAACTACCCTTAACTGTGGAGGCCTGGAGGTTTTGTGTGGGAAGCTGTGTTCTCACTGACTGATTTAATCCTTTGTGAAATTTTGATGGTAAAGTGGGTTTGAGAACTGTTTTTATTTTTGAGTAAATCCAAAATCGAAAGGCTGATATCTTTTACAATCAACACCTAATATAAACTTTACGTACTACCCTAGAAGCTTCGCACTCAAATCCTGAAAAGTTTGGATATCTTTTGAGATGGTTGATGTTCAATACCAGCCCAAATAGTGTTGCCTGTGCTAAACTTTGAAATGTGAGCTCCTAGTTCCATGCGTCTCTGCCAAGAAGAGAAATCAAACAATCAGCAATTGTGTAGCCAGTAGCTGATTAAATCAGAAGTATCATTGGCTGTTTGTATGGCATGGATCTACTCATTTCTGGTTTCCGTGATGGCTTTCATCATTGAAAGTACATTGAACTTGTATTGATCTAAAACAAAAACTGAAATTTCTGGAGAAATTCAGGTTTGATAGCATCTGTAGGGTGAAAGCAGAGTTGATGTTTCAGGTCCGGTGACTCTTCATCAGAACTGAAGTTCTGAAGAGTCACCAGATTTGAATCATCAACTCTGCTTTCACCCAGCAGATGCTGACAGACCTGCTGAATTTATCCAGCAGTTTCCCCTTTGTTTCAGATCTTTGCCATCTGCAGTTGTTTGTTTTATTTTTGTGTTGATCCAGTTCCACCTCTTGGTAGCAGAAACTGATGACAAAATCATTTAGTCTTAATGTGCAGTTGAGCAGCTGTCTATTCTGAGTCAGCTAGCATTGTTATCCACTAGAGTAATTTATGAATTAAATTTATCGTGTTCAGATCCACAATGTAATGCTTTCATTTAGTGCGAAGGGGGTGACCTGGGTATGGTATTTAATTTCATCCTTATTTTTACATCAAATTATTTTATAATTTAATCCCCCTCTCTCTTTATTCTGTAGCGGTAAACAATCTATAGCAATTGATGACTGCACATTCCACCAATGTGTGAGGCTCAGCAAGTTTGAATCTGAAAGGAGCATTAGTTTCATCCCACCAGATGGAGAATATGAACTTATGAGGTAAGTAGCCAGCAATGTGCGGAACAAAGAGGACTGGTTAAAGCATGTACAGCTTCAGATTCCAAAGCAATTTTCATATTTGTACAGCTGATTCTAGGCATTTGACTGCTTTGGTACTGTCAATGAACGCTGAATCTGGCCTGTTGTAGAAAATATTGGATTTTGAATTCTTGTAAGTAATTTGATAGACGAAGGATAGATGATTTTGTTTTCTCTTCCCAGCATACTTCGGAAGATTTCATTCAAAAATAAAAGATGTGTAAATAAATTCATTGTTGACTTCCTTGTGTATTCCAGTTTAAATTAAGTCACTTAATAAACAGTCAGCATTAATTAGATTGGGAGTCATTATCGCACAAATTTAGGATATTCTGTCCTTTGGATTCATACTAGCTCTCTGTGGGTATATTAGCCTTGCCCAATCTCTCTAACCTTTTAACCTTAAGTCCAACCCAACCTCTTACTATCTACTTAGTATTTACATGCAAGTAGAACATTTTTATATTACATTATAGTAATAATGATGGGATTGAAATTCATATCTATTCCCTTCATAATTTTATAAGATAAAAGCAGGGAAGTTTTTGCTAGTGGGTGAAACTAGAAGTAGGGGGCATAATCCTAAATCTGTTCCTCCTTATTTTGAGGCCGAGTATAGGAAGAACTTCTTCACCCAAAGGGTTGTGAATCAGTGGAATTCCCTGCCCAGTGATGCAGTTGAGGCTACCTTGTTGCATATTTTTAAGGCAAACATAGATTTTTGAAAAGTAACGGAATTGAGGGTTATAGTGAGCGGGTGGGTAGGTGTAGTTGAGTCCACGAAAAGATCAGCTGTGGTCTTATTGAATGGTTGAACAGGCTCAATGGGCTAGATGGCCTGCCCTGCTCCTATTTGTTATGTTTTTACATTCAGTATTGAAGTGCTCGATTAATTTCTATTTGAGAGCCATGAACCACGCAGTCAGGCAATGGCCCAGTGGTATTATCACTGGACTGTTAATCCAGAGACCCAGGTAATGTTCTGGAGACCTGGGTTTGAATTCCGCCACGGCAGATGGTGGAATTTGAATTGAATAAATATCTGGAATTAAGAGTCTAATGATGACCATGAATCCGTTGTCGTTTGCTGGAAAAACCCATCTAGTTGACTAACGTCCTTTAGGGAAGGAAACTGCCATCCTCACCTGGTCTGGCCTACATGTGACTCCAGACCCATAGCAATGTGGTTGACTCTTAACTGCCCTCTGGGCAATTAGGGATGAGCAATAAAGTCTGGCCTAGCCAGTGATGCCCTAATCCTGTGAATGAATAAAGAGAAAAAGTCAGGCACATGCTTTTCAAACTGTTTAACAACATCTCTGATACAGTTAACAGCGTCACAAGGTAGTGTTGAGAATTTAAGTTAACATTAATCCAAAGAACCTAAATAAGACATGCAGTTGTTTCCTGAAAAATATCAGTTCAAATAACATTCACTTGACTTAGTAATAGCTAATCTTAGCAGCCTAAAGTTGCAGGTTAGCATAGTTGGGTTCAGAGTTTGTGATCAGCATGCTGCTGGTAAGTATTGACGTTGCCCCTCTGAAATCAGCATTAGATGTACAACGTGCCCAACTTGTCTTGTGTAGTGACAATAACAGTGCATTATTAATCTATGTAGAAAATTCAGTTCGCCATAGGCAAAGTACATACAAGGATGGCCATTTGGCTCATTTTCCCCTCATGAGGATCCACAGTACCTAAATATTTAGCTGTTTCTGGCTGTATCCTCCATTAACAGTAATGAAAACCATTTACAACCTAGTGGATGCGCAGTCATCATTGTTTACCTACACCAGGAGTGATTTGTTCTCTGGGCTGTAAGAAATCAATCCACTAAATAGGGGTTGGTATTGCAAATGATGTTTTCAGACTGAAGACCTGTTGTCCTCCAACAGTTGAATAGCTACTGCCTTGAAGTTTGAGGGCAGTGTCAAGAGGAGAAAGCACATTGCATTTATTTTCAACCGTTCAATATTGAATTGTTTTCTTAAGGTACCGAACCACTAAAGATATCATCCTGCCATTCCGTGTGATCCCATTGGTCAGAGAAGTAGGTCGCACTAAACTTGAAGTGAAAGTTGTGATTAAATCAAACTTCAAACCATCCCTGCTGGCTCAGAAGATTGAGGTAAAGGATTTCCATACCCTTTTACTCTTCATGTTTCCTTAGTTTTTTTCTGTGCATTGCGTTACAAGATTTGGGGTTTTAGAGTTACTTGCACAAATAGATGATGTAATAAATTCAGCTCACACATTACTCAAGGCAAACTTTGATCATTTTTTATTTTTCTGTAATGCTCATGCATTGTCTCAGGCTTCACTACTAGGCCTGAATGCATAATTTAAGCTGATGTTTATAGGATTGTAGGAAGTGCCATCCTACAAAATGTTAAACAGAGCCCCTATCCCATCTGGTTGTTCACTTGTCCGAAAGATCTCTGTATCTTAGCCAACATTTATCTCTTGATCAGTGTGACTGGAACAGATGATGAAAGACATTCCATTTGTGCCTGTGAGTCAGAGATGGAGGAGCACAGCAGGCCTAGGCCATTTGTGCCTGTGCCTTCGCAACCACAAGATTTGACAAAGCAATTTACATCCATTGAAATATTCTTGAATTGTGGTCATTTGCAATTCTAGTAAAAGTCACATCTAATTTCCATGCAGCAGTTTGTACAAAAAAGCTACCAGGTTTTCTTCAGTCGTGCAAGTTAAAGAATGAATATTGGCCAGGGTACTAGGTGTCGAGCATGGTATTTTTTGTTTAAGTAGATCAGGGCCAAGGTTTAACCACTCATCCAGGAGAGGCCACTTCTGAAGATGCAGTGTTCCTCAGCTTTTGCACTCAAATATCACCTTGGATTAAATACTCAAGAGTCTGGAGTTAAGTCTATCTGACTGCGGCAAGCACGATAACAATGAACTGTATGCAGCACCATAATGGTCATGATTTCTGCTGTTCTTGGCTGTTTGCTATTGTCAATTGGTTTACTGTGTTTGCCTACGGGATAAGAGCTGCTGTTCTGAAAATTTGATGTACTTCAAAGTATCCCCAAAGTTGTTGAACAAATGTAACTATCCCTCTTTATTATAAGCTGTAATCGAGAGTTCTTGAGATTTCATTCAACATTATTTTAATTGGACCACCACCATTTAGGAAGGTGATTTACTGGAATGATACCCGGAGTGTGAAACTTCAGTTCTGTTGAAAGCCAACAGAAGTTGGAATTTTCTCCTTAGAACAGAGACAGTTAAAGGGAGATTTAATACAAATATTTGTAACTGAGGGGGTAAGTGTTGGAGAATCTGTTGCCAATGACAGAGAAACCAGTAATCACAAGATTTTGATTTAAGTTTGAGGAGATGTGAAGGAGAGTTTGAGTATTTTTAATCCTCAGTTGAAGGGGATACTTGGTTTATTTATAGGGTAATTTTGCTAGTATGCCATGCTTTTGTGGGGTTTAAGCACAAGTTAATATTGGGATGTGATCTGTTTGTTTTTCTGCTGAACAAAATATTTCCGTAAAGCTACATTAATTATCCGAGTTGAGCAGCTGATATTCTATTTGTTAATGCTGTTAATTGAGAAGCAGGTATGACCTTACTGTGGTAATCCTTCCTCTTCAATCCTGACTCTAATATTAAGCCAAGTGCGGGCTGTTGTGATTTTGCTCAGCCTTCTTGAACATTATTGGTTCCATATGTCAAAAGTCAGTTGGGAATCAGCATTTGCTAGAAAGGAGCTGTGTACAGTTTCTGTTTCTTGGCAACTGCCTGGGTTTACAAATTTAACCCATATTTCTGAGAGTGTACCATTTTTGCAGACTCAGCAAGCTTCTGCATTGCTGTCCTTAATGCTGTTCTTTGTTTTACTGCTGCCTGGTTAACTTTGCCCACAAGATCGCTTTGGGAAAAGTATGTAGTTTGACTATTAATACTTACCTCCCTCTAGTACATCTAATTGCATTTTAAAGCATACAGACATGCACGTTGAAACAGTTCCAGGCCAATTGGCGACTCAAGTCTGCTCCATCATTTAATAAGATCATGGTTGTTCTGACTGTAACATCAAATCGACATTTCTGCCTTCCTCCAATAATTTTCCACCTGTTCCTTGCCAAGAATCTGTCCACTCCTGCCTTAAAGGTATTCCACCTTGCTAAAGTTACTGCAATTTATTTCACATTCCTGCTTGGTCCAATAATCTTTCAACTTCTTGTTTACCAAAGTGACTCTACCTTAAAAATATTCAGATATTTTTTCAAGATTGTGAGCTAGGGATGCTTAATATTTATGTTTTGCGGATGGTATGAGTGCATTCCATGGAGTTTTGGAGGCTGTGTGGAAAGTTTAATGCATGCTCCCTAAAAATTTTACCCTCTCAAGTCACTTATCTTGGTGTTTTGATTTAGGAAGCATCCACCAGTCAATAGCGCTGAAAAACAGGTCTTTATAAATCTCAGATAATTTTATAAATCTTCAGAAAACCCGAAACATCAGCCTTCTTGGTCCACTGATGCTGCTTGGCCTGCTGTGTTCATCCAGCTCTACACCTTGTTATCTCAGATTCTCCAGCATCTGCAGTTCCTACTATCTCTTTATAAATCTCTAGGGGTTCAATGTTGAAAGTATAAATTAATAATTAAATCCAAAATATGGCTCGTTACAGGGGGAGGCGATGGCCTGGTGGTATTATCGCTGGACTGTTAATCCAGAGACCCAGATAATATTCTGGGGACCCGGGTTTGAATCCTGCCATGGCAGATGGTGGAAATTGAATTCAATAAGTATCTGGAATTGAGTCTAATGATGAATCCATTGTTGATTGTTGGGGAAAAACCCATCTGGTTCACTAATGTCCTTTAGGGAAGGAAACTGGTATCCTTACCTGGTCTGGCCTACATGTGACTCCAGACCCACAGCAATGTGGTTGACTCTTAACTATACTCTTGGCAGTTAGGGATGGGCAATAAATGCTGCTTAGCCAGCGATGCCCTCATCCTATGAATTTAAAAAAATACTAGAATGGTACAAGGACTGGCTATGTGAGGCTCTGGAGAAGTTGGGATTGTTTTCCACGGGGCACAAAGATTAAGGGAAGATTTAAAAGCTCCTCTGAGTTGAGGGGTTTTGCTCAAACGAATAAGGGGAAACTTTTCTGAGGCAGAAGGGTCGGTACCAGACGACAAAGGTAAAAGAGCTGAGGATGGTCAAGGGATGGGTGGACGGAACAAGATAGCTGAGAATTTTATTTGTGCAGCAAGTTACTGTGGTCTCAAATTATCTGAAAAGGAAAGTTTTGCAGAGACCTCAAGAGAGGGCAAAGGAGTGGCACTACGTGAATTGCTCCTTGAGAGGACCCGCACAGAAATGACCTCGCTGAAAGGCTGTCTCCCATGCTGTAACCATTCTATAATTCCAGAAATAAACTTCCTGACAGTTCTTCAAAAGAAGTTAATAGATTTGCTAACTTTCAAAAGAATATTAGATAGATATGTAATGGAAATAAAAATTACAAAACTTTGAAAAGTATGGCAATGGAACTAATTGGATACTACTTTGAAAGATCTGGCACAAGAATAATGGGCTGAATGGCCTCCTGTAGTTCTAGATGATTCCATCATCCATGACTGAATTTCATTTCCTTGATGGTCTGGTGATCACAATTTAACTGTACCACCTTACATTCATATAACCACTGTGACAAGTTTGTCAAGCATTGGTGAGTACAAGCTGATACAGGCATTAAATCCAACTGCATGAAAAGTCAGAGCTGACAGTGGGGAAATTTATACAGTTGAGCAGCATACGCAAGTCATGTGGAATGACTTTTATAGTGATGATTATTAACTTCAATTGAATGCAGTAACTAGGAGCCTTAAACATGTTGCTATTTAAGCTAAATGTAAGTTATGCAGATTGCATCTGATTGCACTGTTTACATAGAATCTCTGCTTAGTTCCCTTAATATCCTGTGGAGATTTTCTGTAGTGTGCTCATTACTTGTGTATGTGTGCCTTATTTTACAGTGTGAATGGCATGCTCACCTCACTAAATAAGATTTTTGCTCCATTTGCATTAGCCTCTCACCACCATTTTGTTTCCTGCTATGAAGGCATGAATTTCTCAATTGGGCATAGTCCCCTGTGCATCATCCCAGTGGTCACTTCTGATCTGTGTAGTAATTTTTAGCGGGCTGTCTGATTGCCAGGAGGTGTACTAAAGCTGAGTCTAATAGTGTTCCTGTCCAACATACGCAGCTGTTCACTGACCTGTTTGCTTCTATTAATCAGTCTCATGAATCATGGTGCTGGTGTTGAGGGGTTGTTACACTTAGCTGAGTGGGTTAGAGAATATACCTGGAACTTTTCTGTTTAGTGAGGTCCAGTATACTCCCTGACCAGCTGAGCCATTGAGGCAGTACCAAAGAGTGTCAACATTTAGAAGGAAAAACGCCATAGCAGCTTGATTGGAGTACAGTGAAGTAAGCTGTAGGACTGATCAATAAAAAGGGGGCTTCGTAATAAGACCTCTTTCAGAATCTATTACACTTCCAAATTATTCCAGTTGGAGGATGGGACACAGACCTGAAAAATTGACTCTACTTTTCTCCACAGTTGCTGCCAGACCTGAGAATCTCCACCTTTTCTATTGTTTTTGGTCAATGTTTGGGAGAAACAGTAGGCTACTTGGACAAATCTGAAATAATTTTATTTTGTAGCTGAAATCGTTTCGCTTAGAAAACAGATCCTGCTGTGACCTGCTAATTCAATTTCATTTTCCTTGAGAGCTCCCATTACAGACAGAGAGTTTATACTGCTGTTTCTTGGAAACAGATGATGTGACTCTTGCCAACTTCTACAATGCTGAGCTTTGTTTGGAATCTTCCAGTTGGATGTTCAGTTTGCATGACATTCAGGTGTGCTTTTGATTAAATATACAACTGGCAGAAATTGAGGTTCTTGAGCCCATACAGTATTTCCGGCTTAAAAAGCAAAAATGCTGAATATACCAGCAGGCCTGCTAACAGATGTTCATGTCAAGGTTCGTGTTTTAAGTACTAATCCTAATCGAGGACCTCCACTGAAAACTTCAGTCCTCCTGTTCTCTTTCTATGTACTGACTGAC